CAGTAGGCACATATCCTATCCTGTGTGATGCCCACAAGACCCCTTGACAATCGAAGGCTTTCCTTCTGGGCTTCAATGGGTGTCAGTCACAGCAGTAGAGATCTCTCTGGTGCATATAGCTTTCATATGGCCAGTTTCATCTGAAGTTAGCTGAAAAGACTCCCCCTTACCTTCGCTAAATCCGGTTACTGAGGAAATCTGTAGTAGTTAGTGTACTGTTCAGACTAGTGTCTTATCTTGTAAGTTGACAGCTGAACTGCAAATATATATTGAATGAAGTTCTGCTTTAAGGACCAGATCATATCAGGAGCTCGGTTTTGGAAAGGTTCAATTTGAGGAAATTAAGCGACATCCAGTCTGATATGTCGTTCAGTAGGTGGGTGATACAGGCGGAGACTGAAGGGGTGAGGCGAGGGGTGGAGAGGTAAATTTGCGTGTCATCGGCGTAGAGGTGATAGTTGAAGCCGTGGGAGTGATAGTTGAAGCAGTTTGCCGAGGATGGTGTAGATGGAGAAGAGAATGGGCCTGAGGACAGAGCCTTGGGGGACCCCAACAGAGAGGGGGAGAGAGGGGGAGGTGGTAGCATTATAGGTAACGCTGAAGGAGCGTTGGGATAGATAGGAGGAGAGCCAGGAGAGAGCAAAGTCTCTGATGCCGAGGGAGTGTAGTTTATTAAGGAGGAGGGGGTGGTCAACTGTGTCAAAGGCCGTAGAAAGGTCAAGGAGTAAGAAGACTGAGTAGTGGCCATTAGCTTTGGCGGTTAGCAGGTCATTAGTGATTTTGAGTAGGGCGATTTCAGTGGAGTGTAGGGGATGGAAGCCAGACTGTAGGGGATCGAGGAGGTTGTTGTCGGTGAGGTGGGAGCTTAGGCGATTGTAGAGTAAGCGCTCAAGGAACTTGGAAGTAAATGGCAGCAGGGAGATGGGTCTAAGGTTGTTCAGGTCGGTGGGGTCCAGGGAGGGTTTTTGGAGTATGGGGGTGATGTGAGTGTGCTTTAGGGTGGAGGGGAATGCGCCAGTAGAGAGAGAGGGAGATTGAAGATGTGGGTGAGGGAGAGTAGGATGGAGGAAGAGGGTGACCGGAGTAGTTGTGTGGGGACAGGGTCAAGGGGGCAAGTGGTGAGGCGGGCTTCTGAGAAGACCTTAGTGACCTCCTCAGTGGTAGCAAGGCTGAAGGAGCAGAGTGTTGGGGAGGTTATAGTGTGCGGGATGTTAGGTGTGGTGGGGGGTGGGCGGTTGCGAGGTCAGAGGAGGGGAGAGTTGATGGGGTTATAGTGGGAGGCTAGGTGGGGAGGTAGGTTGAGCATTGGCAATGTCCTTACGGATTGCATTGATCTTATTTTGGAAGCGATTGGCAATCTCGTGGGCGGTGAGTGAGGTACTGGGTGGGGGTGGGGAGAGAGTAGGGAGTTGAAAGTGGAGAAGAGCTGGCGAGGACAGGTGGAAAGGGTGTTGATGAGGGTTATGAAGTAGGCTTGTTTGGCAATGTGGAGGGAGGAGGAGTAGGTGAGGAAAGCGGATTTGTAGAGGGAGAACACTCGAGGGGATTTGGTTTTGCACCATAATCGTTCCAGTGCATGACTGCGTCGTTTAAGATTTTTAGTGTGGTCGTTCTGCCAGGGTTGAAGCGGTCGGGGTCTAATGCTACATGTGGTTAGGGGTGCTAAGGAGTCTAAGGCAGCTGATAGCGAGTCGTTATACGCAGTAGTGGCCAGGTCAGGGCATGACAGTGGAAGGATACTGTCGTACAGACAATCAGCTGCAGAGTGGAGAGGGGCCGGGTTCAGGTTGCGGAGGTTATGGCTGGTGATGGTTTGACGTTTGGGGGGGGGAGGTGTTTGAGGATGGGGAGACGGAGAACGTAATGAGGTTGTGGTCAGAGAGAGGGAAAGGGGTGTTTGTGAGGTTGTGGAGGGTGCAGAGATGGGAGAAAACGAGGTCCAGGGTGTTCCCGTCGGTGTGGGTGGAGGACTGTGTACACTGTGTGAGTGCAAAAGAAGAGGTTAAGTGGAGGAGTTGGGATGTAGCCGGGTTGTTGACATTGATAGGGATATTGAAGTCTACAAGGATGATGGTGGGTAGCTCAGAGGAGAGGAAGAAGGGTAGCCAGGCGGAAAAGTCGTCAAGGAAGCGGGATATGGGTCCAGGAGGCCGATAGATTACTGCAATCCTCAGAGGGGTGGGGGAGAAGAGTCGGATGCAGTGGGCCTCGAAGGAGGAGGATAGAGAGGGGGGTTTGGGAGGACCTGGAAGGTGGTCAACTGTGACAAAGAGCATGCCGACCCCACCACCTCTACGATCGCTCGGTCTGGGTAAATGGGACCAGACAAGACCTCCATAGGAGAGTGCCGCAGGGGAGGTGGAGTCAGTGGCTTGGATCCAGGTTTCGGTGACCGCTAGGAGGTTGAGGGAGTGGGAGAGAAAGTGGTCATGGATGGCGGTGAGCTTGTTGCAAACCGATCGGGCGTTCAGGAGTGCAACCGAGAGTGGAGGGGTGGGTGCGGAGAGGAGGGGGACAGGTATAAGGTTGAGGGGGTTGCGGCGGTTCGTGGGAGTAGGAGGGTGCCTAGTGGGTGAGTGAGGTGGTGAGGGCCCAGGGTTTGGGGAGATATCCCCAGAGGTTAGGAGAAGAAGGGTGAGGAAAGTAAGATGGGAGCGGGATGTAATCTGCAAGAAAGTAATCTGAAAAGGAGTAGAGGGGACATATTAAAAAGGTACACGAAGTGGGACTCAGATTTGTAAGAGATGTTTGCTCACAATCTGTCCAGCATGCAGTAGAGTTTCTTGCTGTTGTTGTATCTTCCTGCTGTTTGAGTTCAACTGCTGTGTTTAACTGCTTCTTCTTAGCCCTCCATCAATGCAGCACTCACGCAATAGCAGCACCCCCATCAGAGACTGTGCCCCCCCATCAGTGATCTCCCCCCATAAGCTGGTCTAAATTTATAGGGAGATGCTCAAATGAGCATTCAACTCCACCCCAATAAGAAGCTGATAAGGATCACATGAATAGTGGGGGATGTTTCTCAAGGAGACCAGGAACAGACTACAGTCATAAAACGGGTGCAGCTAGAGGTGAGAACTGGTCAACAGATACACAAGTATATATACACTATTTGTTCTGAATTTAACAGGAGTCTATGCGTTTTCCTAGGTAAGAGTGGAGATAGAAGACAGGTGCATTTACCCAGAAAAAAGCAGCAGGAGTCGATGCGTTTTCCTAGTTAAGAGTGGAGATAGGTGCATTTACCCAGAGAAAAGCAGCAGGAGTCAATGTGTTTTCCTAGTTAAGAGGGGGGATAGGAGATAGGTGCATTTACCTGTGAAAGCAGCCAGACTCATTCACCTTACCAACCACTCTGTTTCCGCCACCCCCCTCTGCCAATCCCTCCACTGGCTTCCGATTGCACAACGGATCAAATTCAAAATCCTAACACTGACGTACAAAGCTGTACACCATACTGCCCCAAATTACATCAATGACCTAATATCCAAGTACCACCCAACACAAACACTCCGCTCCTCACAAGACCTCCTTCTCTCTAGTTCTCTGGTCTCCTCCTCCCATGCCCGCCTCCAGGATTTCTCCAGGGTGTCACCCATCCTCTGGAACTCCCTGCCCCAACCCATCAGACTATCACCTACTCTCCTCTCCTTTAGGCGTACCCTGAAAACCCACCTCTTCAGGGAAGCCTACCCACCCCCTGCTAATTTGCAGACCTCCTTCATTCTTCCTACACTCCATCCCCTACAGCTATCTCCTCCTGTACCATTATCCCCTCCCTCCTAGATTGTAAGCTCGAAAGAGCAGGGCCCTCGAACCCCTCATGTATCGCATTGTATTGTTATTGTACTGTCACATGTTCTGGCCCCCTTTGTAATGTACAGCGCTGAGTGAACTGTTGATAAATACTGTATAATAATAATCTCATTTCAGTAATGTACCCTTGATTTGGCAATACATTTGTCACTACCTATGATACTGAAATTGTATGTTTATATCTTATTGTTTGATTTAGATTTTTGTACTCACCGTAAAATTATTTTCTTGGAATTCACTGAAGTACACAGAATTCAGAGATGATTGCTTTATATTGCTATCTGTAGGGGGGATCTGGGTCCTGGCAAAAGACAGTGACCAGCCTGCTATTATCCCTCCCATGGGCAGCACACCTTTGTTTTTTAACAAGCAGTGCAGAGAGCAAGAAAGACAAAAACACAGGGCATCCCTCAATTAAAAATGTACACTGTTGTGAATACAATTCAAATATAACCCCAGTCTTTTACTGTAACGGTCAGAAGCATACAGGATGATCCTATCTTACCTGAGACGCTGGAATTTATATAACATTTAGACTTTGCCTGTCCCAGTTGGTATACCATAGAAAGGAATCTTCATGGGCTGAGTTCCATAGTGTGGACTATAGCCCTGGACCTGGACTAAACGTGTTGTGCTAAATGCCAAGGTGAGCGTCCATTCAGAATTCAGTGCCTGAGCAACACTGCAGGCTGTCCCCACAGTGTGGGGCCTGGGAATGGCTCTCAAGGTTTGCCAACTTTTCACCAATCCAGATACAGTGCTTCAATTTGTGGCATTAGAAGACAGTGAGGAGTTAAACTAATTAACCTACCAGTAATTTCTCCAAGAAGAGGTCCATTATTTTAGGACACTAGAAAAAAAAACTGAGGGTTCACAAAATGGGGTAGGGATATAAGGGAGGCACCCAGTGGGTTGTCCTCTCAAAAACTTGCCAGTGTTCAAAAACTTCTCCTGAAGGTACAAGCATATAACCAGGGTTATGAATACTTTTCCTGTGTCCTGTACTGTACGATTAAGATAACCATATTACAAAACCACCAGTTCAGGCAACATTGAGAAAATTTTTTATATTATTAAGTGCAAAAATGTACAAACCTTTGCTATATAAATATTTCTATTATATTAAAAAAGTACAACATAACATCAGTGCACAACAAATAAATATAAATACACACAAACACAAGTCAAGCAGTGAGCACAGAGGTTCTCGATGCATCAAGAAAGTCATAGGTTATCTCTGACATATCAAAGGGCTTGTGAAGGCAATCAGGTGACAGCAGGTAATGGAGGGCTCCATCCTTCTCCCTGTTTTGCTTTAGGAAATCAGCAATAGCTTTCCAGCGTGCAGCTTCTGTTTCATCATCTGCCCATCTAGGTGCCTGGAGAAATGTTGATTGTAGAAGAGGGTAAGCAGTGTCGTGGTATACTTGGATGAATGTGTTCTTCAAGAATTCTGGATCTCCCTACAGATAAATATGCTAAAATAAGTACTGTGTATGACTGAATTAAATTTGTTGCTGAGTTTTTTCGTTTTAGTGCATATACAGTCAGGTCCATAAATATTGGGACATCGACACAATTCTAACATTCTTGGCTCTATACACCACCACAATGGATTTGAAAGGAAATGAACAAGATGTGCTTTAACTGCAGACTGTCAGCTTTAATTTGAGGGTATTTACATCCAAATCAGGTGAACGGTGTAGGAATTACAACAGTTTGCATATGTGCCTCCCACTTGTTATGGGACCAAAAGTAATGGGACAGAATAATAATCATAAATCAAACTTTCACTTTTTAATACTTGGTTGCAAATCCTTTGCAGTCAATTACAGCCTGAAGTCTGAAACGCATAGACATCACCAGACGCTGGGTTTCATCCCTAGTGATGCTCTGCCAGGCCTCTACTGCAACTGTCTTCAGTTCCTGCTTGTTCTTGGGGTATTTTCCCTTTAGTTTTTTCTTGAGCAAGTGAAATGCATGCTCAATCGGATTCAGGTCAGGTGATTGACTTGGCCATTGCATAACATTCCACTTCTTTCCCTTAAAAAACTCTTTGGTTGCTTTTGCAGTATGCTTTGGGTCATTGTCCATCTGCACTGAGAAGCGGCGTCCAATGAGTTCTGAAGCATTTGGCTGAATATGAGCAGATATTGCCCAAAACACTTCAGAATTCATCCTGCTGCTTTTTTCAGCAGTCACATCATCAATAAATACAAGAGAACCAGTTCCATTGGCAGCCATACATGCCCACGCCATGACACTACCACCACCATGCTTCACTGATGAGGTGGTATGCTTAGGATCATGAGCAGTTCCTTTCCTTCTCCATACTCTTCTCTTCCCATCACTCTGGTACAAGTTGATCTTGGTCTCATCTGTCCATAGGATGTTGTTCCAGAACTGTGAAGGCTTTTTTAGATGTCATTTCGCAAACTCTAATCTGGCTTTCCTGTTTTTGAGGCTCACCAATGGTTTACATCTTGTGGTGAACACTCTGGTGAAGTCTTCTCTTGATTGTTGACTTTGACACACATACACCTACCTCCTGGAGAGTGTTCTTGATCTGGCCAACTGTTGTGAAGGGTGTTTTCTTCACCAGGGAAAGAATTCTTCGGTCATCCACCACAGTTGTTTTCCGTGGTCTTCCGGGTCTTTTGGTGTTGCTGAGCTCATCGGTGCGTTCCTTCTTTTTAAGAATGTTCCAAACAGTTATTTTGGCCACGCCTAATGTTTTTGCTATCTCTCTGATGGGTTTTTGTTTTTTTCAGCCTAATGATGGCTTGCTTCACTGATAGTGACAGCTCTTTGGATCTCATCTTGAGAGTTGACAGCAATAGATTCCAAATGCAAATAGCACACTTGAAATGAACTCTGGACCTTTTATCTGCTCATTGTAATTGGGATAATGAGGGAATAATACACACCTGGCCATGGAACAGCTGAGAAGCCAATTGTCCCATTACTTTTGGTCCCTTAACAAGTGGGAGGCACATTTGCAAACTGTTGTAATTCCTACACCGTTCACCTGATTTGGATGTAAATACCCTCAAATTAAAGCTGACAGTCTGCAGTTAAAGCACATCTTGTTTGTTTCATTTCAAATCCATTGTGGTGGTGTATAGAGCCAAAAATGTTAGAATTGTGTCGATGTCCCAATATTTATGGACCTGACTGTATGTCTGCTCAAAGAAGCACCTATGTCCATGGACAAAAAAGTAAGTCCTGGCTTGGACTCTTATTTCTATATATTTTATTTCAACATAACGCATAAGGAAAAAAAAGGACCTCATTCACAATTTTCACGAAAGCCAGCATTGACACACAATATTAACCGCTTTTCTACCAGGGCAATCGTTTTTCACACACGTGTTAAAATTTGCTTCCTAACAATTACTTTAAACACCCTAAAAAATTATAACTACTATTCTGAAAGAACAGGTCCTTTGGAATAACGTTAGCAGTTGCAATTTTTTATGTTGCAACTGTTTATACACATATGTTACATGTTCATATTTTCAGGCAAAAAAGCATAAAAAATATTTTTTTTTAACAGGACCAATTTTACTTTTTGCTTTATTCTAAGTTTTCTTTATTGATTATACTATTCTGTGATGCATTAGTTTAATGTGACTGCTATTAAAAATAAAAGAAACATTTTTAGTCTGATAACTTCTATTTTGAGTCCACATCTTACAAATGTTTTCACAAATGCCGGTTAAGTCTTATTAATCTATCATACTAATGGGCTTATTTAATGAGGTTATTAAAAAGCCACCAATTATATTCCAACTTTTAATCAGTTGGCATACCAACATCACAAACATCTTTCATCAGTTTAGAGCAAGAAAAACAATGATAGGTGTGCCATTACTGGTAGCTAAGCGTTAATATACTTTGCATATTGCTACTTAAAAAGTAGATTTCTAAGGCCAAAGTTTTTCTTAGTTATGGATAGAGTAAGGGGTGGGGGTGTTAAAACAGCTGTAATTTTTGCCATCTGTGGGGAGATTTCCCTCATTAAGTAGATTTCCCTTCACTTCCTATCCTGGAGACGCATCCTTTTCTTTTTTCCATCTTTTGGGAGGATTTGGGAAACTGTGGCTACATTTATGCTCTTTGTTTTATCATTTGGCGGTTTTTACCAAGTTTTGCTCCAATGCTGGGCTATGTAAGTTATATGCACATATTTATGACTATAACCTTCAATGGAGATATAAGGCAATATATATATATACAGGTGTACCTCGGTTTACAATTTAATGCGTTCTCCGGGACGTTTCGCATTGCGAAAAATTAATTAACCGAAACGCGGTTTCCCATAGGAATGCATTGAAAACCAATTAATCCGTTCCGGAGGTCAGAAAAAAAGTAAAAAAATAAAAAATCACTGTCACTATAGGTCAGTGACAGTTTTTAAATGTAATTACCAGCTTTTTTTTTTTCTTCTCTATAGCTCAGAGAATCAACTGTCACTTTCCCCCCAGCTAAAATAAAGAACGTGTCCTTTTAGGTTATGTCCCCGAGTTAAAAGAAACAATGTTTCCTTTTAGTTTTTTTCCTGAGATATAAGAAACAAAGTATCCTGTGAAAGTGACAGCTAAATCTGTGAGCTATAGTGAAGAAAAAAAAAGCTGGCAATTGCATTTAAAAATCAGCATCGACATACACTTCATATTGCGAAAAAAATTTGTACACAATTCGTAAACCGAGGCATTATTTTCACTCATAAACCGAGAATTACGTTTACCGAGGCATTCGTAAACCGAGGTACACCTGTTATAGGCATCATGCTCTATCTAGGCACTTCTGAAGAAGAGATTGTTTGCTGTCTTGAAACGCATCAAGTGCTCGCATGATTGAATGTCATCTCCTTTACCTGTGCATTTATTGTAATAGATATGTAATGTATAACTCTGCTCTCTCCTGGTTCTCCTCTTACCTTTCTCAGTGCACTTTCAGTGTCACATACAACTCCTCCTCCTCCGCTCCACTTCCTCTTTCTGTTGGGGTACCCCAAGGTTCTGTCCTTGGGCCCCTCCTTTTCTCTCTCTATACTTCCTTCCTGGGCCAACTGATAACCTTCCATGGCTTCCAATACCACCTCTATGCTGATGACACCCAGATCTATCTCTTCACTCCCCAGCTCACCCCTTCAATCTCCTCACGTATCACAAATCTACTAAGCGACATATCAGCATGGATGTCACATCACTCCCTTAAACTCAATCTTTCAAAAACTGAGCTTGTAATATTTCCTCCTCCCCGATCCCCCACTCATGACTTCACCATTAAGATCAACAGCACAACCATTGGTCCTTCCCCTCATGCCAGGGTGTTAGGCGTAATCCTAGACTCTGACCGCTCCTTTGGGCCCCACATCCACTCACTGGCTAAATCCTGCCGCCTCAACCTCCGAAACATTTCCGAAATCTGCCCCTTTCTGACCAATGACACCACAAAACAACTTATTCACGCCTTGGTTATATCCCGCCTCGATTACTGCAACTCCCTCCTCACTGGTCTACCATTACACAGGCTATCCCCCCTTCAGTCTATTATGAATGCTGCTGCTAGACTCATACACCTTACCAACCGATCAGCGATTGCTGCCCGTCTCTGCCAATCCCTCCACTGGCTTCCACTAACCCAACGTATAAAATTCAAAATACTAACCACAGCTTACAAAGCCATCCACAACACTGCCCCTAGCTACATCGCCAACCTCATCCACAGATACCGCCCAAATCGCCCACTCCGCTCCTCCCATGATATCCTCCTCTCTAGCTCCCTCATCACCTCCTCCCACGCTCGCGTCCAGGACTTCTCCAGAGCCTCTCCCATCCTCTGGGACTCCCTACCACAGCATGTCCGGTCTCCCCCACCCTGTCTGCCTTTAGGCGATCTTTGAAAACTCACTTCTTCAGGGAAGCCTACCCCACCTCCACCTAAGAACTGTACTTGAATCACCTCCGCCAGATCATCCCCCGCAGCTATCACCTTTTGTATCACCTGAACTCTTCATTTAGATTGTAAGCTCCACGATCAGGGCCCTCACATTCCTTCTGTACTGAAATGTATTGTAATTGTACTGTCTCCTTTATATTGTAAAGCGCTGCGCAAACTGTTGGCGCTATATAAATCCTGTATAATAATAATAATAACCGTCATACTTTATATGTCTATGTGAATTTTAATATTTTGTGTAAAATAAAATATGGTTCAATATAAGCTTTTACAAATTGATTGCTTCTATTGACTTTGTCTGTGCCTTTAAAATACCACAAAAAGAGGGTTTTCCATATACACATCAGGAAGTGAGAGGACATCTATTAAACATTAGGGAAGTTCCCTCTTGAGTTTGGATTTACCATCACTTCCATACCCAAAGACAAAGGTGATCAGGGCACAAGAAAGAGTGAATTGTCATAAAGGGAACACAGTGGTTCTGACAGTGGTTCTAAATCCTCACCATTCTATCCAGGGTTTTTAAAAAGTCTTTAGTTTTACCTCAAATGTACAGAAACCATTACCTTATTCCTACTTGTCTCAAAACTTTTCCATCCTTTAAAACACTTTCTTTTACCTATTATGTAGCATATAAACAAAATAAGGAGTGGCATATGACCCTTATGGGTCACTTTTTTAAGGAAAAAAAATGCAGCAACCTAAATAATGCTTTGGACAACATAACTGTGTTTTGCAACATTTTGCTGAAAAATGTCGAATTGATACCATTAAATAGTAATAATAATGAGAAAACCTACCTTTTCTGCCCTCTTCAAAGAGTTCTGCTTCTCAGCCCATCCACTCTGAAAAGGAAACAAAACTAATAAATATATAATATAATGATGATAATATACAATATTTAATGAAAAGTCTTAAAATGTTCATATGCACATTTGCCAACATGTGTACATTCTGTATCTGTATGTTCAGAAATCAATTAAATAATGAAAAGAAAAAGGACAAGGTCTTAACAGTCTTTATAAATGACGCCAGGGAAGAGGAACTCCTCTGGACAACCAAATAATACATTAGGCTTTAAAGGAATTCTACAGTAAACACTTTTATATTAAAATATCAGAATTGTAATAGCAATACAAACAATAGTCAGTTTGACAATCCAATATAAGCTTACTTGACAAATCTCATTTTATGTGTGAGTTCTGCCTGTATGCTGGCCATCTCGTTCCACAATTTACTGGATTCCCTGCATGCTTTGCAGCGTTTTCTCTGCGGTTTACTTTCAGTTTCCAAGGACTACATATCATGGTACATTGCCATGAAGTCGCCTGCAAGCAGTGATCCCCGTACTGACTCCTGAAACTCCTTCTCTTAACACCTCGGTAGTTCAGTAGGCAGGCTCTGTGAAATGTGTGACACAGCAGTGCGTACTCACAGTGAATATGTATCACAGAATTTAGGTAAATAACTGTTTGCAGATATTTGCCAAGTAAGTTTGCAAACTTCAAGATCATTCGGATTATCAGGAGTAGTCTAGAAATAACTGAAATACAATGTAGAAATGAATATATGATTTAAAATTTTAACCACTGATACACTTAAATTTAAAACCATTCAGGTGGCATACGAAATATTTTTAAAATGTGTGTTTCTTATATAGATACGTAAAAAAAACATATCTATAGCTGATTTTTATATCTGTAGTTCTGAATGCAATCACGATTTAATGTGCATATTAACAACAAGCCATGAGTCAGTAGTCCCTTTTAAATGAAAGTAATTACTGCAAATAGCAGAAATGTTACATGCTATAGATTTTATATGCTGTTTAACATGCTTGTTACAATAATTGGTCACTTAGTGTTTCACAGTATAGTATCATGCACAATAGGAAGCTTTTACAGTGAACAGAACACTCATGATTTCTCACTTTGCAAGAACAGTTTTGGAACAGTAAAATGGTTGACTGCAGACTGAAATGTAAACATAATTTTTAATATCATTAAAGGCCCTGTTCACATCTGGCATTTGGATCTCAGACAGAATGTTATTTTTTTATTGCACATCACGGGACACAGAACAGGCCATTCATGACTATGTGGGTTATAGGCCACCTATAGGTGAATGGACACTGGCCAACCAATCGGAGAGGAGGTCTTACCCTATATAACCCCTTCTACATAGGAAGCAGTTCCGTTTTTTCGCTAGTGTCTGTAAGGTGGAAGGTCACTGAGAGTGTTGCTTGTGCTCTTGGAGTATACCCAAGATCTAGTACGGTTCCATCGAGAATCATGGACATTAATCAGATCCATTCGGAAAGCTGTGAGAGAAAATAGATGGTACCCGAGCCTCGCTGGATAAGGAGAAGAATCCTCGGGTTTTGCCTGTAATGCAGTCTTACAGCACTGGACCCAGCACAGATGGAACCCTGTGCAGTTTTAAATCTGACCAAGGCTTTTTCCAGTGGGGTGTGCTATACAGGTCCAAAGAAGTGTCCCCACATTATGGGGACCAAGTCCTTGAACGTTTGTATGACAATACCCGCCGTTATGGGAGAAGGTTGGAGCCTGGTGGGAGTTAGGGACCCGCGGCGGGACTGGTAAGAGATCTCCTTTTTTTCTCTGTAAAAAAAGAGGAACAACTAAGCTGAAATTTGGAGAGAAAAGGAGAGGTATTGTTGTTTGACTGGGTTTCCACCAGTGGGATTGCTCACGGCATTTTTTCCCGGGGTATGCTTGCTTCTTGTTCTGTCTTGAGCTACTAGAGGAAGAGCGGCTGGGCATCGGAAGTAGGGCGCATGCATGGCGGGGTTTGTGCGCGTTCAGGGGGCATGCACACGCACAAGGATCGCATGCTCAGTAGTGTCCGGAAATGTAAGTCTGCCATATTTTTCAGGAGGCATGGGCACACGTGGGCTGCTGCCGCTTAGGGATACCTGTGGCCAGGACACAGAACAGGCTATTCAGTGAGGCATGTGAGTATTCCCCTGAGGGGGAAGCGTTTGTCAGTCAGAAGCCGCCTTTGGTGGCTCATTAGGTCAGCAATTTGCATTGAGTATTTTTCTTCAGCACACTACTTGCATAGCTGTATCTTGTGATCTGTGTTTACTAGTGGAGGTGCAAGTGTTTTTTTTGCTATCTGAAGTCATGTCTTCCAGAAAGCAGAGTTGGGGAGGTACAGCAGGAAAGGGCACAAATATGTCACCGCCAGGACCTGAGGAACCTAGCCGAATGTCCACTGTAATATCCTCTCCTGAGAGGCCAGAAGCAACTGGGCAGTCTGAGCCACTACGTTTATCTGGCATTGTGGCTACTACTGGGGCATCTGCCTCGGCATATGTAACCAAGGATGATCTTACTTCAGCAGGGTTAGAGGATAAGATCACTGGGATGATTGCATCAGCTTCTCAGGGGACTAAGAAGCAGAAGAGATCCCTGTCACTAGAAACACCAATCCTGCAGAAGTGGTTGGAAAACCGCAGGAGAAGGAAGAACTGGAGGAAGGTCAGACAGTAGAGTCTCTGTCTGGGGGGGTCACAGCCTGAGGAAAAGCAGCCAGTCTCTGCCTCCCAGGCTCAGAGATTATTAGTCCAGGACATCACTTATATGGTGCAATCTGGATTCAGGCTACCTCCGATAGAAACCTCAGAGGTTACTTATTTTTCTCTGGGCTCTTTGAAGCCTCCACAGAGTACTCAGGCCTTTCCGGCGCATCCTCTTCTGGAGCAAATTACGTATGCTCACTGGGATCACCCAGACAGGGTTTTTGTTCCACCAAAGAGGTTATCTTTTTGTACCCCATGGAAGAGAAGTTTGTTAAGAAATGGGGTTTACCTGTAGCAGATGCAGCTGTTTCATCCATGAACAAATCTGTAACATGTCCTGTGGGGAATGTCTAGGTTTTCAAAGATCCAGCGGATAAGAAGCTAACTCTCTCCTTAAGGCCTCCTTCTCCGTGGCAGGTTCTGCCGCACATCGCACAGCCAGCAGTGGCAGCTATTGGCATTTGCCAGAGTCTTTCTGACGATGTCAAGTGAATGCTTGGAAAACCATCAGTGCAGGGGGAATACTTGGCCGAGGATTTGGTGGATGTTCCACATGCTTTATGTTTTGTGGTTGATGCTCTTAAGGATTCAATTCAGCAAATTTCTAGCCTGGCCTTCTTATCAGGGCACATGCTTAGGGTTTTGTGGCTGATGAGTTGGTCGGCAGAACTGCCATGCAAAAAATTATTGGCAGGTTTTTCTTCTCATGAAGAAGCCTGACTGGAAAACTCCCAGGATGTTGCAAAGAGATGCTGCTAAGAGATGCCCATTCACCTTCACCATCAAAGGAGTGAGCTCTCTCTCTTATTCAAATCCCCACACATGCTCGCTCTCTTTCCCATGATACAGTAGCTCTGAGCTTAGAGCTTGAGAGTTCACTCCTGTGATGGTGAAAGTGAACAGTAATTGCTGGGCCTCCTTTAGCAATCTCCGGGGAGTTCCCAGTCAGGCTTCACGAGGTACCGTACGTAAATTGCCTTTACTCATAGCAAGGACATTATTGAACTTTAGTCAAAGCTACATAGTACACTTTCAGAAAAATCCAAAATGTTATTTCTTCTCCTGATTTGATTGATAAAACCTTTTTAAAGTAGCCAGATTATAGTCTTTCTCCAGCCTTTAAACATCACAGGGAGATGTAATTATTATACATCAAACAAAAAAATATGCACTGAAATCTGCTTAGTACTAGAGAACAGTGAGATGTTGAACAGGTTTATGGAAACCAATTGCTGAACATTGATTTTGTCACGAAAATATAGAAGTTAATTATACAGCGTGTCATAAATTTATCATAGGACTCCACAAACAAGTCATACGGGAGCTTCTATATTTCTCGATGTTCTAATAATATAGCCTTCGTACTTTCACTGAGGATTGGTCTTGCAGGGCGGGCTGAATATATTAACTTTATCATAATTAAACACCCACTCCTTCCGGGCCTGCACATCTGCCCTTATTCGGAATGCAGATGTCTGCTTTACTGCCTGATACTACACTGCAAATAATAATTTAGCCTAAATACCAAAGTACATTAAATTGGAAAACAGAGCAAAAAGAAGCTCAAGTATGAAAGGAAACATTTATAGACATCTTACTGATACAATGTTATTTCCTAATATGGCAGCTGCCATTGTTGAGGTCATTATGGAAATATTAGTCATCCGACTGTTATAATTTACCACTGGCTTCAGTAGTTTCGGACTCCAAAGCAACATACTCAAAAGATGTATTTTAAACATGTGCTGTACTCAATTTGTATATTGCTAGCTCACCCTGTGTATCATTAATATGAAATGTGGTATAAATTATGTATAAAATATCAGTCAATATACACATATTTCCAAAACATCCAAACAAAACAAACTCATTGATAGATCAGTTAGTGTGCATCAAAAGTGAATAAAAAAAAATGAGTAAACAGTCCCAAAGCTTTGCAGAGTCCACTTTATGCGGTATTTGTGCTGCACCACAGAAAAGCCTCCCCTAGCCCCTTAAAGGTAAAACCTCACCTCTACTTCTCACCTTCACTACAAAGGTCAAAATCACACATATACACTGCTCAAAAAAATGAAAGGAACACTTTTTAATCAGAATATAGCATCAAGTCAATTAAACTGCTAGGATATTGATCTGGTCAGTTAAGTAGCAGAGTGGGGTTGATAATCAGTTTCAGCTGCTTTGGCGTTAATGAAATTAACAGGTGCACTTGATGGGCAACAATGAAATGACCCCAAAACAGGAATGGTTTTACAGGTGGAGGCCACTGACATTTTTTTCCCTACTCATCTTTTCTGACTCTTTTTCACTAGTTTTGCATTTGGCTAGGGTCAGTGTCACTACTGGTAGCATGAGGCGATACCTGGATCCTACAGAGGTTACACAGGCAGTCTAGTGCCTCCAGGATGGCGCATCATTACATGCCATTGCCAGAAGGTTTGCTGTGTCTCCCAGCACAGTCTCAAGAGCATGGAGGAGATTCCAGGAGACAGGCAGTTACTCTAGGAGAGCTGGAAAGGACCACAGAAATTCCTTAACAGGATGGGCACTGCCAGAGCTGTACAAAATGACCTCCAGCAGGCCACTGGTGTGAATATCTCTGACCAATCAGAAACTGAGGGTGCCCTGAGGGCCCGACGTCTAGTGGGCCCTGTGCCCCTTGCCCGACACCATAGAGCTCGATTGGCATTTGCCAATGAACACCAGAATTGGCAGGTCCGCTACTGGCACCCCATGATGTTCACAGATGAGAGCAGGTTCACCCTGAGAGCATGTGACTGACGTAAAAGGGTCTGGAGAAGCCATGGAGAACGTTCTGCTGCCTGTAACATCGTTCAGCATGACCGTTTTGGTGGTGGGTCAGTGATAGTCTGGCGAGACATATCCATTGAGGGATGCACAGACCTCTAAAGGCTAGAAAATGGCACCCTGAATGCCTTTAGGTATTGTGATGAAATTATTGGACCCATTGTCAGACCCTACGCAGGCGCAGTGGGTCCTGGGTTACTCCTGGTGCACGGCAATGCCCGGCCTCATGTGGCGAGAGTATGCAGGAAGTTTCTGGAGGATGAAGGAATTGATACCACTGAATGGCCCCCAAGCTCGCCTGGCCTAAATCGAATAGAACACCTCTGGCATGTATCAGTCCATTCAACACAGCCAGGTTGTACCTCAGACTGTCCAGGAGCTCAGTGATGCCCTGGTCCAGATCTGGGAGGAAATAGCCCTGCACACCATCCATCGTCTCATTAGGAGCATGCCCCAACGTTGTCAGGCATGCATACAAGCAAGTGGGGCCATACAAAGTACCATTTTAAGTTGCTGCAATGAAATTTGAGCAAAATGGACTAGTCTGACACATCATTTTTTCACTTTCGGGGTGTCATTGAATTCAGTCCTCTGTAGGTTGATAACTTTCATTTCCATCAAACGATGGGGCATCCTTACGTTCCTAACATTTTACCCTGTCCATTACAGTATAGATATAGATGTTCTTTTAATTTTTTTAGCAGTGTATGTCAGGCTTCAGGACCCAAAGACACCACTTGGACAGATCCATAAAGCTATGTATATTGCCCAAAATGCTACTCAGTGGAACCATAAAGCCCAGCTTAACCTTTATATCACAATGGCTCAAACAGCCAGGGGATCTTTCTCTTTTCCTCTCAAAATAAAATGCAAATCATAGTGCTCACCGCAATAATAAAACTCTTTATTCAAAATAAAATGCACTCACATACTGTATGTAGGTAACAAACACAAGCACTTCTTGCTAGCCACTCAATCATATAGTGCTGTCCGGGAGAAGAGAAAGTCTCAATCCAAAGTAGACTGACATGTATGTAAAAGACTAGGAAAGAGAAACAGTCCCACCGACTAAGCATAGTAGTTTATCAGGTCTCATAAAAACAATGATATAATGCACTCACAGTGTGAAAAGCATGTAATGGAATTCCACTAGATTGCAGCCTTTCCACAGTCCAGGCACTTACTCATGCACATAGTTTCTTGCCAGGAACCAGAAGGGCCACTGTGGACCGCATGGAAAACGGGAGAGCAGGAGCAGGACACCAGAATGGTGTGATGATGTCAGAGAAGACATGGCAACATGTTTTGGGGCATTCCTGCCCCTTTCTCAAGCTCTGGAGGGTTTATAAAGGGGCAAGAACCTTTTGATGCACATTTATTGTTCTATCAACAAGTTTGTTTTCTTTGAATGCTTTGGAAACATTATATTTTGTATATACACTGATATTTCATATATAATGTATAACACATTTCATATTATTGATATATAGGGTGAGCTAGCATTATAAAAATTGAGCACAGCAGGTGGTTAAAAATTCTTTGATGTATATATTTGTGTGCTAGTATGTTTGACTGTTGTGCACTTCTTTTTTTGTTTGCTTTTTTCACTGATACAGAGGTACTGGGAACTTTTAGACTTGCAAGTATAGTCAGATGAAGGAAAACTTTAAACAAGCACAATAGCCTGACCAAAATTGAAAAGAGTTCAAGACAATTTAAATTGTTGGTAAAAAAGTCATATTAAAAACACCTGTTTTTAATGTGTTTTAGGGGGTAACACCACTACCCCTTCATAAGACCCTCCATCGCGCTGCTCAGCAACTGCTGTCAAGTTTTTCCTCCACGAGGAGAGCTCAGTACTGGTTCTAATATAGATTTATGAAGTCATTGTTTTCTGAGTCCATCCAAGTTGAGCCCTGTGTTGAGCCCTGAGGAAGGGGGAGTAGTGTTGCACCCAAAAAAACGTTTGATGTTTTTATATAACTTTGTTAACCAAACATTTAAAAACTCTCTCGGACTCTTATCTATTTTTGATCTGTGGCTCATTTATGTATTTGTATGGTTTCAGTAGTTTTTAATTCCTCTTTCGCAGGCTGAATTTAAAGATTTACATAAGCTTTCAACACTTGAGTTACTTCTTGTCTTTGTGACGAGATATTTAAAGTGTTACTAAACCCACAACAGTAAAATCAGTCTGTATATGCAGTAAAGCATGCTTTTTATACTCACTGTGGAACCTAAGGAGGTAATCCTCTGTGTAAAAAGGATTTTTGATCCTGACTTCTCTCATCCTCCTCTTCTTCCAGTGTACCTCTCCTGATAAGATATATATCATGTAGAGACACTGCACAAGCTCAATTTGGTGTGTATTGCTAGAGGTTTTTTTTTTTATCTTGGGAGAGTGCATGTGGTCAGCACAGGGGCAATCAGCACTGCCAAGACAGAGGTCAGGGGTTCTGCATCCTCCTAAAGAAAACTCCTCTTACAAGCTTTTACCAGTGCTTGGCTGGACACTGATAGAAGTTACAAGACTGCTCTAACTGCTGATGAGAAAAGGAATTTAGCAGTTTATATTTACTAACAGAATTGCATTTCCATGTTCTGTGTACTGTTGGAGACCAGACATAGTGAATGCAGGGTCCTGGGGTTAGTAAAACTAAGTCAAAATGTTAATATACATTTTTCTTTTAACAAAACCCACTCCAGGCCCAAGATGTGCTGCCCAAATAAGAAGATAGCAAAAAGAAGTCATCAAGGGGGCAGACTTCCTGTTCTGGGGGGTTTACAAAGGAAGAAAACACATGGAATTGCTGCATTTCAGACATAAAATGCTTCAGAAATTAGTCAACATTTCTCTCAGACATTCATCCATGCCACACATGCCACACAAAACAGCTGCTTCCTTCTGGTATACTCACTGGGAGTGGTATTAGAACTAGATCTCTGCACCTGTGACTTGACCCCTACTCCATGGAAGACCAATGCAAGGTCCTATGGCTCCTTAAAACAAATTTGCAAATGCTAAAAATGTTAGTTCCCTTTCTGCCAGGCTGAACCTTTTGTTTCAAATCCCTGACCTGAACAAATCCATGCAGATAGATAAGGTCTCTTCTGTATTTTCTGATCAGCATACTTTTTAAAGATCAGAGACTCGCGAAATATTAAAATTAGTAGGTCAACATAACAGCCAGTGAATTGCCATGTACAGAAATGTGTCATCAATTTCTCTCATGGTATGTTTATCTAAATGATATCAAGTCAGGTAACATGACCAAAAGTAGAAAAAAAAACACAGAATTGTCCCTGTCCCCAACTTCTCACTACCCTATGCTGCTCTGTCTTTGAGCATTTTTGCTTGCTGCAGCCCTGTATTATGGTGAGTTCAAATATGGACAAGCAGAGCCCTGATGTAAATTCTGCACCTTGAACTTGACATCAGTAGCATCACCACAGTAACAGTATGAGGAAACAGTATAAGGGTTGCAGAATTTGTTTGTTTCCACGTTTCAACACTAGAAAACCCATTTGCTGGGTGAAACAGTTAAGGATTGTCATGGGGAAGGTGATTATCATCACCAGTAGAGGAAAGGTCAGCATTCCACCGTTTCAGTCCTGTATCAAAAAATGTATTTCATGTTCAATTACTGAATTACTAACATTGACAAATTTCCCCCTAGTTAATCTGATATTTTTTTGATGCATAAAATATTTTGTGGCAATCAGTCCTTTGCACTTACCCTCAAAGCATCCATGATATCAGGCTGCTCCATTAGTCCGGGGAACGTGGCCAGCAGTGGATTGCAAATTAGATCTGAAAAGAGAAGCAACAGAAATCAAAGTACTTTGAACCATAGGTAATATTTTCTAACTACAGCTCAGTGGTTTGAAATTATAATGTATCCACAGAATCAGTTTTGGAAAACAATTTACTTTAAAATGTACTGTTTAAATGGCGATGCCATGCTTTACCACTACTACGTGCTGACTGCCCATTGGACGAAGTCCTTACTTTTATTAATAGCTAATAAGTATGTACTTTGGCAATATTTGACATATATACAGTTTATACACCTGTATTTAAAAAGATCCAGTTTCCAGTTTCTTTTTTTTTAATTCTGTCTTGTACAGTTATTGCATATAAACATAAAGTTACTGTATTGCTTAACATTTGTTAACTTATTGCAATTAGTGGAACCTAGTTGTCGGTTTACAATAGATAGATTCCAATAGATTTGTCCTGGAATATCATCCATGGGACTAACCAAGTACATCATCTATACTAATAACTTGACCATAATCATTGAACTTAAATGTAACTTTGTTATCAGCTTCAATAAAGTTGATACCCTAAATGTAAGACGTTCTGGCATCTTCCATCAAGCCTACTTGCCCTGCGTACTGCATTAGGAATTTTGGGTCACCTGTATGTCTATATCTATGATGTGGCGATGGCTCTCTGCCAGAATTTCAAACTGTACTTAAAGTGCACCTGTTAGAGGGTGCCATTTCTGGTTTTCTTTTAAAAATGCTAATTTGCTGGCTGGTTATTTTATGTAGTAGACCTAGTTAGTTTCTGATGTAAAATTATATTAGGATTCCTATATCCATACTTGCTCATGGTCTATGACACTATAAAGAGTTAAAGCCAAAGCCTCAACATGACAGCCTGGAAAAAATATACTTTTTTTAAAACAAAAAGGTCAGGAATGGCAGCCGGCATAATTTGTTCTTGACAGGTATAAATGAATCTCACATTCTTTTCAAAAACAATATTTCAATATACCTTGGTCCTATTTCAATAAAATGCTGTACACATAAGCTCCTGTAATACTAGTTTCGAACACATTTATGTATAGCTTAATCAGATGAAAAAAAAGTGTTAGAAAGTTCATGTGTGTTTTGTTCAAAACAGCAGCAAACAAAAGAAATCAAAGAAGGCAATTTCCTCCGAAAAATGCTCTTTTGTCTACATACTCCATTAAAACCCAGTACAGCATCAGTACCCATTCACTGAAGGTTTGCCTCGTTTTTCCTTTTGCATTTTCCTTCTCCAACAATCACCAGCCAGCATTCTTACTCTGGCACATGGTGGCGAATCCTAAGGGGCTCCTGGACTGGCCCCGCTTCTATAACTAGATACCTAAGGAAATACCCGTGTACTTGAATAATTTTAAAATAGAAAACAGTGCAGCGCTAAAACATTACATAGTGTAAAACTGAAGGAATATTGAATAATAAATACTTGTTAGTGATGATATTAATAAATCAATATTAACCACTTCCTGTCCGGACACTTTTACCCCCTTCCTGTCCAGGCCAATTTTCAGCTTTCAGCGCTATCACACTTTGAATGACAATTGCGCGGTCATGCAACACTGTACCCATATGAATTTTTTACCATTTTTCTGAGACAGATAAAGCTTTCTTTTGGTTGTATTTATTCACCACTGAAATTTTTATTTTTTTTTGCTATGTAAATGAAAAAGTCCAAAAATGTTTTTAAAAAAGTGTTTTTCTTATAAAATTTTGCAAATAAATAATCTTTCATCATAAATCTTGGCCGAAATGTATTCTGTTATCTTTTTAGTAAAAAAAAATAAGCCAAATTAGTTTATAACCAAAAATTATAATTTGTAAACATTTTTTTTATTTTATTTTTTTATATTATTTATGGGTTTTTGTTTTTTTGGGGTTTTTTTTTTTACATACTGTCACCCTAGCAGTACAGTGTCACCATGGTGACACTGTACTACTTGTGGGGGGTGATGAAGATTTTTTTTTTTTTTTTTACAGTGATTGCTGTTACACCCATATAGGATGTAAAAGCAATCATTTCTCTTTTTCTCTGTCTGCATTCTTGCAGCCATTGAGAACTACTGAGTGAGCTGTGATTGGTCACAGCTTGTCACATGGTACAAGGCTGTTGTGAATAGCCTTGTACCATGTGACCTTTGTGATCATTCACAGATTTCACATGTAGTAAGCAATGATGTCACAAGTGATATCTTGCTTACTACTTTGCATGTGATCACTGATTGGCCAATCGGTGATCACATGATCGGGAGAGGTCCCGTCCAACAATCGGTGTTTCACTGTATCCGGAGGACACAGCGGGCACCGGATCGCGGTGCTGCGCCCTCCCAGGGAGCGTGCACAGTTAGAAATGGCGGGTGCCGTTTATGAACAGCAACCTGCCCCTGGAGTGCCAGCATCCTGCCGTTTATAAACAGCAGGCGGATGGCAAGTGGTTAAGTAATAGTGATAACAAATATGAGTGCATAATTAAAACGTAATAAGTTGAAAAAGAATCTGCGGGAAGCTCCCTTTAAATGGACGCTCCGGTCTTTGGCAAAATGGCATCCGTTAATAGGCAGACGCCATTTTTACACTATAAAAATAGCACACAAGACGTCTGGCTGCATGGCACCAATGTATGAGGATACCCTGTTACTACTTTTTATTTCCTTCATTAGATATTTGAAAGTACTACACTGTGGGTATTTCCATCTCTTGCTCTGTACTGAGCACTTAATCCCCCAGAGCTCCCCCTGGTGATTATCTCATTGTACTGAAGAGGCTGCATCCGTGTCCTTAAAGTGGACCTCCGATTTGAATATCCATCCAGACGATTTTCATCCATCCCAGGCTGAATCCATTTGCATCCTGAAAGGGACCCCCTGGCAGACCTCCACTTATTGACACATTGCGCAATACCTTTGCGCGTCCGGTGAGTGCGCATTTTATACATATCCTGCCTCTCACCGACTCTATGAAAGTGACGACTTTGGGAATATTATAAATCATCTCTGAGCTCTTATATTTAGTGTGGACGGTCATCTTTTTTATGAGCTAATTACTGTACATTTACCAGGACTACATTTTAAGCGCTGCACCTATTTTTATCTTATTATCAAACAATCATAAGTGATAGGAAATGCATGACGTTAAAAAGGTAAACAATACTCTAAATAGGTGCATACACAGGAATATATCTTGAAAAAATATTGTGGTTAACCAGTATTTGACACAATAAATTAACAAATACAAAGTGCTGATAACAGATTAGATTTGCTGCCAATGGTAACAAAACAATCATTAAAAATTAATACAAATTCATGATAAAGGCATATATACCCAATGATGAACTTCAGTTACGTATTCAAAAAGTAAAAAAGTCAGCAGCTACAAGTACTCTAGCTACTGACTTCTAAAAAAACAAGTGCTTACCAGCCCCCATGGAGCTGAGCCCTGTTTTTGTACAACCCAATTATTTTCATTGCTGTCTTAGGTCCTGCACAGCCATCTTGGTTCAGGAGCCAATTGCAACCTCCTCATAAGTCAAAGCTGGCTCCCCACTGTGCATGCGCTCACTGGAGCGGACAGTGCCGATGTATCACAAGAACCTGGAGGCAGACCTAACAAATGTCCTCCTCATCTAGGCAAGAGATAAGGAAGTGGGAGCAAACACTTTTGTAGAAAAGGTACTTGCGATCTCCCAAAGTTTTTTTTACATTTTCAAATGTGTTAAAGGGAGGGGGAGAACCCAGAATATGCAGTCTTCAAAAGAAGAGTGAGTGTCCATTCACATACACCCTGTTCTAAATTATTATGCAAATTCTATTTAAGTGTGACAAAGATTAAATATTTTGTTTTTCAGTTTAACTCATGGATGGCATTGTGTGTCAGGGCTCTTTTGATCGCTGAAAACAATCTCGGACACCTGTGATAATTAGATTGGCAGGTGAGCCCAATTTAAGGAAAAACTACTAAAGGAGGGTGTTCCACATTATTAAGCAGAGCACCATTTTCAAGCAATATGGGGGAGAAAAAGGATCTCTCTGCTGCCAAAAAGAGTGAAATAGTTCAATGCCTTGGACGAGGTATGAAAAAATTAGATATTTCACAAAAACTTAAGCGTGATCATCGCACTATTAAGAGATTTCTGGCTGATTCAGAGCACAGACGTGTTCGTGCAGATAAAGGCACATTGAGGAAGATTTCTGCCAGATCCATGCATCGGATCAAGAGAGCAGCTGCTAAAATGCCATTACATAGCAGCAAACAGATATTTGAAGCTGCTGGTGCCTCTGGAGTCCCACGGACATCAAGGTGTAAAGTCCTCCAGAGTCTTGCAGCTGTGCATAAACCTTCTATTCGGCCACCACTAACCAATGTTCACAGGCAGAAACGGCTGCATTGGGCAGAAAAATACATGAAGACTAATTTTCAAACAGTCCTGTTCACTGATGAGTGCCGTGCAACCCTGGATGGTCCAGATGGAAGGAGTAGTGGATGGTTGGTGGACGGCCACCCTGTTCCAACAAAGCTGCGACGTCAGCAAGGCAGTGGTGGAGTCATGTTTTGGGCCGAAATCATGGGAACAGAGCTGGTCAGCCCCTTTAGGGTCCCCGAAGGTGTAAAGATTACCTCTGCAAAGTATGTGGAATTTATGACTGACCACTTTCTTCCCTGGTACAGAAGGAAGAACTATGCTTTCCGTAATAAAATCATCTTCATGCATGACAATGCACCATCTCATGCTGCAAAGAATACCTCTACATCAATGGCTGCTATGGGGATAAAAGGAGAGAAAGTCATGTGTGCCCATCCTCCCCTGACCTCAATCCTATTGAGAACCTTTGGAGCATTCTCAAGCAAAAGATCTATGAGGGTGGGAGGCAGTTTACATCCAAACAGCAGCTCTGGGAGGCTATTCTGACATCTTGCAAACGAAGTCAAGCAGAAACTGTCCAAAAACTCAAAAAGTTCAATGGATGCAAGACTTGTGAAGCTGCTATCAAATAAGGGGTCCTATGTTAAAATGCAACATGACCTGTTAAAATGTTTAAAAAGTTAAAATGTTGTTAAAAGTTTTATCGAAATAGTTTTTGATATCAGTAAATATGCTGCAAACACAACAAATGACAATTTTCAGTTCTTTACAACCTATAAAGTGTTTTGAAACTTACTGTGCGTAATAATTTGGAACAGTGCATTGAAGTTTTTTTATGTTTAAAAAAAATACTGTTATCATTAGGAGGTTTGTTCAATAAAATTTGAATTGTACTCTTAATAGTTGATAACATGAGAATTATGCTGACTGTTATTTTGTTCTTTACATCAATTACTTAGGTAAATGAGAAAAATATAATTTGCATAATAATTTGGAACAGGGTGTATATGCTGACTGGATGTGGTTTGAACCGCATCCAATCTGCATGACATGTGAAAGAACATTACTTCCTATGGTGCCTGTTCACATATGTCCGATGCACTGGCAGTGTGGATTCAGTGCAGTTTTAGAAAAAGTCCTGTCCAATTTCTAAGCAGTGTGGTCCAGTTCAGGTGCAGATTACAGGCTATTGATTTCTATAGGAACCGTTTCTAAACGTTTCTATATGTGTGAAGATAAGATCCTGAGCTAATCCTGTCCTGAACCGGATGTAAACCTGACATGAACCTGTGAATAACTACTGTATCAATTAGCTGTGGAACCTGAGCTTCATTCTGCACCGCACATGTGGGAATCAGCTCTCAGGGTTTGTTTTAACCGCATGAAATGTGTATTAGCAATAGAAATGTCAGGAGCTGTTAATTACACACATATATAGCTCCTGTGGTGAAAAAAAAAAATCAAACATCTGTACAAACTCCAGTTTATTCAGAATAAGGCAAAAAAATCTTTGCCAGTGAAACAAATCCTTCCTAACACACAATGGATATTTGATAAATTCCTGAAAGAGCATGTAGTCCACAGGAGAGAAGCAATTCCTTTTTCTTGGAGAGAAAACTTTCAGTATGCAAACTGAGGTGACTTCTTTAACTAAAATTGCATCATAACAGTTTCCAAATATTAGTGTATTACCTAATTTATGTTCTGAACCCTTTTTCACTATATTACATTTTTAAAAAAAACATACAAACTGCTTTAACGGTTTGATCAAATCAAACAAATCTCCTTTTCCAAGTCCTCACCAAATCAGTAGCCCAGTGTAACAAGATAAATTAGTACATTTATAAACCGAATCAATCCAAAAGCCCCCTATATTACGCTTTCCCATTGTTCATTTTTCATCATAATCGCTTTAACAAATGCATCCTACTAATATTACCATTTAGGAGAATTTCCAAAAGAAGTGAATTACCTTCTATCACAAGAGTCTCTTAATAAAGAAGCAAAGAAAAACACCTCCAATAATGACTTGAAAATAAACATACTTAATGGGTACTCCACTTTCAAGGGAAAAAAATATTGCAAATTTAAAAAAAAAATAGCATATACAATTGCAACACAAGCCATACTGCAATGTACTGTTATTAACCACATACCGCCCAGCCACTGTAGAAATACGGCGGCAGGGCGGCATCGCTGGGCAAAACCACGTTTTAAAACGTGTGTTTTTAAAACAGGTAGGGGGCGCGCACACGTGTGCGAAGCGAGCCGCCGCCCTACCTGTCCCGCCGATCACGACCGCGGATGTCAGTCGCCGGGTCACAGCCGGTTGTTACCGGCTATGTCCCGGCGATTAGAGGCAATCAGTGACAGAGAGCACAGCTGCAGTAGCTGTGCTTTCTGTCAGTTCCCTGACAGCTCCTGACACGCTGATCGGGACAGAAGAGTTTATCTGTCCCGATCAGCGGTGTTCCCTGCAGTACACCCCCCCCTGCCCCCTAGTAAAACACTCCCCTCACACAGTTAACCCTTTCACTGTATAATAAAGTTAACCCCTTCCTCCCCAGTGCCATTAGTACAGTGTCAGTGTTTTTTTTTTGCACTGATCACTGTATTGGTGTCACTGGGGGGATGTCAGTGACCCCAAGTCAGTTACCCCCCAGTGTCAGAATGTCCGCCGCAGTCCGCCATAAGTCGCTGATCGCCGCCATAAGTCACTGATCGCGCCGCCATTATTAGTATAAAAAAAATTAAAAATCCCAGTATTTTTCCCGCCATTTGTAAACGCTATAACTTTCACGTAAACCAATTAATTTACATGTATTGGGTTTTTTTTGTAGCAAAGACATGTCGCAGAATGCAATTTTGCAGAAATTTATGACTAAATTTGATTTTTAAATTTTTTTTTACTGGACATGTTTTATAGCAAAAAGTCCAAAATATTGTTTTTTTTCCTCAAAATTGTCAGCCTTTTTTTTTTATAGCGCAAAAAATAAAAAACGCACATGTGATCAAATACCACTGAAAGAAAGCTCAATTCGTGGGAAAAAAAAAAAGGATGTAAATTTCATTTCTTTACCGTATTGCATGACCGCGCAATTGTTCGTTAAACTAGCGCAGCTCTGTATAGCAAAAAAATGGCGTAAATTACAGTATCTATACCATAGTTTGTAGACGCTATAACTTTCAAACAAAGCAATCAATATACACTTATTGGGATTTTTTTTTACCAAAAACATGTAGCAGAATACATTTTGGCCTAAATTTATAACTAACTTTGAGTTTACTATATATTTTTTATAGCTGAAAGTAAAAAATATAGTTTTTCTTCAAAATTTTTGGTCTTTTTTTGTTTATAGCGTGAAAAATAAAAAGCGCACAGGTGATCAAATACCACCGAAAGAAAGTTCTATTTGTGTGAAAAAAAGGACGTAAATTTTGTTTGGAAGCAGCATTGCATGACTGCCCAATTATCAGTTGAATTAGTCCAGCGCCGAGTAGCAAAAAGAGGCCTGGTCATTAAGGGGGGTAAATCCTCAGGAGGGCAAGTGGTTAAAAATGATATTCCCTTTTCAGTCCACTATTTGACACTGGAGCTTAATGCAGACTGCTGCAGTAGAGACAGAAAGAGTGTTGCTGGGGATACTTTATTGAAGGGGTGGGCTATCAGGAGACACTTTCACTCTGCCCTGAAAGTTCAGAAAGTTTATGTAGCATGTCATGTTGTCAACCACTCCCCCCTCCCCCCCCAAAACACCTCTGTCTGACCATCCAGGCATCAGGAAGACGGATATATAATAAGGCTTAATTGACACACTTGTCTCTGTACTCTTGCCCAAAACAAGCACCGTCACATTGAATGTGGAGCATTCTAGACACGTGTGCTGCTCACATGCCTTTTCTGAATGTATGCAGTGAGGCTACCCTGTCAAAATGAGGCTGCACTTCACTCACTGCACACAAATCAGGCCTTGATAAGATAAGCCTAAAGGCTTGAAGATAACTAAAGAAGGCATTTTCTTTATAATACAGCAGACCAGCCTTTCTCAACCTTTTTAACATGGAGAAACCCTTGGAATAACAAGAAATACCTGCCAACAATTACTATATGTACAGCTCACCGTACATTACTTTACAAGTCAGCGGGTAGAATGCTCTTTACATTTGTGGTCATCTGGAAGGATTCCCCCTTACAGATAGCGAAAACGACAATTGGCTTCAGTGGTAACTTACCTGAGAGTCACAAATCGCTCATTGCTAATGGAACCCCTATTACCCCTAGTAGTAGGAACAGGCTGTGATGAAACAAAACAAAAAAAAAAAAACAAGGACAGCCGCTACTACAGAAGGCCTACCAGAAAGGCATGACCCCCTGTTAAGAGTGGTCAATCGCGCTTTGTTAAACAATCTAGAAAGCCGGTCACTCATATGCTCCTCCAGATCACCAAAACAGCAGATAAGTATCTTCCAAACAATGGACCTTAATTAGAGTAGCTAAACCATTCAGAATAAGGTTTGGATTAGTAGTGGAAATCCAAATTTTTCAATTTCCAAAATGGCCACCAGCCGTCCACACATGCGCAGTAGTGTGCGTGGGTGGAGCCACGGTGGCCATTTTGGAAATAGGAAAATTTGGATTTTATTGCCAATCAATGCCTAATGATGTTTGCTTACATGTGAGTGCAAGCATACTTTAAATAAATGTTGTAACTATGGTTTTACACTATGTGGAGCGCTCTTTCTTTGCATGGTTTCCACTACGAGTCCAAGTCCAAGCCTTATCCTGAATGGTTTAGCTACCCTAATTAAGGTCCAATAAAGAAGGCATTTTGTACTGCACCATTTGGGTTTCTCTTTTGTGTTTTTCCCTTACATGACCATTTGGGAGGTGATCACAGAGGAGGAAGAAGGGTGGATGTGACCATTTTCAATTCCTTTATACCTATTATCAACCAATTCATGGAATGATACCTGGGCATCCTGAAGAGAGTGACATCTTGGTGTATGGGAGATGGTGATTGTTTCCTTTAAGCGATTTGGCCAACCATGAGAGTGGGGGCATTTGGTGAGTGCACACCCGAAAGGGGGGACATTACATTTTGTACACATGGTTAACTTTCTTGGAGAACTTAGAAGATTTTTGTGGGTTTATTAAGGACTTTATTTAGGACTTTTTCACATCAAAAGTCATATTTTGATAGCTAGTTTCATTCACTTCATGATATTTTGCGCTACTGAACCACTTTAACTTGTTCCTTTTTTAGTCATAATAATGATAAATTGTATGTTTACTAGAAATATTGCTCATGCAAGAAAAATTGCATACCTATATTCTGCATGTTCACTCTCTCTTTCAGAAGAACATCACCCAGGATTTGACGATAAAAGACCAACAATGGCACATGGCACATGCTGCCTACCAAGGTTTCTGGAAGAAGACTTCAAAAACAAGATAAAAGAAAAAATATATTCTGTAGATACAATTGACAGTGGGAGTACTTGGTCATAGCATTCACTCACTAGGCCTGAGCACTATCAAATGAGAGAGTGATGGCACAGCTTTGCTAGGCTGTACTCAATGCTGACTATAGCATCACCTGAGAAAAAAAAAAAGAAAAGAGAAGTGAGGGGGTTGCAGGTAAAGCAAGTTTAAGAGGGTTAGGTGTCCTTTGCAGACATACTGTCACATCCGGCAATTGGATGGGCATCACTTTAAATGCACACCTAGCCTGCTGACTGAACAATGAAGGAAAATCAGTGTACTGATGAGCTCATCTCTTTGCTCTATCTACTCATGTCAAAATATTCACTATCAGCAGATGCACACTGCAGCTAATCTGACTGGCTCTTATTGTTGTCCCTCCTTCTTCTGAGTCCTGTTGTACAGGGGATTTGAGGGGGCTAGTATAAGACAAGATGAATTAAAAAAAAAAACACTTAAAGCTGAAGTTTAACTCAATTTTTTGGGGGTATAAAGCACCAGGGACATAACTTACCTCTAATGAAGTGTATCCTAAATACTGTTGGTTGTTGTAAACCAATGCACTGTAAAGGTGATCTGGGATCATTTTTTTTTTTTTTTTTTTTTTTTTTAACAGTTCCAGCAGTCTGTCTTATGCATTTCTTTAGAGTGAAGTTATGTTCTTGGCGCTGTATACCGAAAAACATTTTAACTAAACTCCAGCCTTAATTTTAACTGCATTAGTTAATGTTTTATATCTGCCTGGAGTTGAGCTTTAACAATGACATCAGTGTCAGGTGAACCTACCTTAACATTTCCCTTCTTCTTCTGTTGACTGATCTAAGTTTCACAAGAAGCCGTGGTTGTCTTCTATGGGTCATCATTTGATTAAAGACTCCACTGTTTGCTGGAGAATAACATTGCAAATTTATATAAGGCATTTAAACAATGGAAATTATAAGAATTATAATCTGAATGTCCATGGTCATAATTTCTTTAATAAACTGGTTGTATCTGCAATAACAGAGATAAGAGATAAGGACCAGGTGGGCTGCATGGTGTTCTTTAAAAACTGAGCTCATGATCTTTCCTTCCCCAAGCCCTCCCCCCCGCCCCAACTCCAGCATCAATATCAATACAACTATCATCCCCTCCCATCATGCCAAGGAGCTAGGTGTAATCCCAGATTCAGACCTCTCCTTTCAGCCCCCCATCGAATCATTGTCCAACTCTAGCCACATTCACCTCTGTAAAATCTCCAAAAAAAACACTCATTCCTAACCAATGACACCAACAATCTATTGATTAACTTGTTATCTCTCTCCTCAGCTATTTCAACTTTCTTCTCTCTGGTCTACCTCTACCCAAGCACAGTACTAGGGTGCTGGATCACAGCAAGATCAGACCATTTGTGCCAAACCTAACTCACAAGGGTACACTACTGACCTCGTCTAGATATAGATGGATCCACCTCAACTCCTTGTTCATAGGGAGTACCGCCATTTAATGCCAATTCATAAGTCCTGTTAAAAAAAATGCACTATTAAATACTAAAGCACTGTATACAGGTGAAGCTCGAAAAATTAGAATATCATGCAAAAGTTCATTTATTTCAGTAATGCAACTTAGAAGGTGAAACTAACATATGAGATAGACTCATTACATGCAAAGCAAGATAGTTCAAGCTGTGATTTGTCATAATTGTGATGATTATGGCTTACAGCTCATGAAAACCCCAAATCCACAATCTCAGAAAACTAGAATATTACATGCAATCAATAAAACAAGGATTGTACATAGAACAATATCGGACCTCTGAAAAGTATAAGCATGCATATGTACTCAGTACTTGGTTTGGGCCCCTTTTGCAGCAATTACTGCCTCAATGCGGCGTGGCATGGAAGCTATCAGCCTGTGACACTGCTGAGGTGTTATGGAAGACCAGGTTGCTTCAATAGCGGCCTTCAGCTCTTCTGCATTGTTCGGTCTCATGTCTCATCTTTCTCTTGGCAATGCCCCATAGATTTTCTATGGGGTTCAGGTCAGGCGAGTCTGCTGGCCAATCAAGCACAGTAATCCCACGGTCATTGAACCAGGTTTTGGTACTTTTTGCAGTGTGGGCAGGTGCCAAGTCCTGCAGGAAAATGAAGTCAGCATCCCCATAAAGCTCGTCTGCGGAAGGAAGCATGAAGTGCTCCAAAATCTCCTGGTAGATGGCTGCATTGACCATGGACTTAATGAAGCACAGTGGACCAACACCAGCAGATGACATGGCTCCCCAAATCAACAGAGACTGTGGAAACTTCACACTGGACTTCAAGCATCTTGCAGTGTGTACCTCTCCATTCTTCCTCCATACTCTGGGTCCTTGGTTCCAAATGAGATGCAAAAGTTGCTTTCATCAGAAAAGAGGATTTTGGACCACTGAGCAACAGACCAGGTCTGTTTTTCTTTAGCCCAGGTAAGACGCTTCTGATGTGGTTTGTTGTTCAGGAGCGGCCTGACAAGAGGAATACGACATTTGAAGCCCATGTCCAGGATCCGTCTATGTGTGGTGGCTCTTGATGCACTGACTCCAGCCTCAGTCCTCTCCTTGTGAAAGTCCCCAACACTTTTGAATGGCCTTTTCCTGACAATCCTCTCCAGGCTGCGGTCATTCCTGCTTCTTGTGCACCTTTTTCTTCCACACTTTTCCCTTCCACATAACTTTCTATTAATGTGCTTTGATACAGCACTTTGGGAACATCCAACTTCTTTTGCAATTACCTTTTGAGGCTTTCCCTCCTTATGGAGGGGGTCTGTGATGGTTTTCTGCACAACTGTCAGGTCAGCAGTCTTTCCCATGATTGTGATTCCTACTGAACCAGAGTGAGAGACCATTTAAAGGCTCAGGAACCCTTTGCAGGTGTTATGGCTTAATTAGCCGATTAGAGTGGGACACTTTGAGCCTAGAATATTGCACCTTTTCACAATATATTCTAATTTTCTGAGATTGTGGATTTGGGGTTTTCATGAGCTGTAAGCCATAATCATCACAATGATCACAAATCATGGCTTGAACTATCTTGTTTTGCATGTAATGAGTCTCTCTCATATATTAGTTGCAAGTTGCATTTGAAATAAATGAACTTTTGCATGATATTCTAATTTTTTGAGATTCACCTGTACATTAAATGAAATGAATATAATATTAAAGTAAACATAGAAAATACAATTGCAATGCCATGGTTATTAATTAGAACTAGATTAAATAGGGCACACAAAAGGTGACACTTACAAATGTTATGCATTTCAGTGTGTCATCACCCAAACAATTCTTTGTTGGTCACTAACTTTCACCACTGTATTTTATGATCAGATTCAAATAAAGTTTCCTGTACTACTTTCCAATTAAAAAGCTTTTATGTACTCATAAAACAATAGATGCAGCAACAATACTAGAAAGTTATAGAGTATTTATGTAACAATCTAGTTTGCTAGTCATTTACTGTACATTTTATACAAGGTTATACATACATTGATAGCACAAGTTCATAAATAACTTTAATCAAATAACTGTATGAGTATTTAGAAATCTGTTGTCTCTACAGATCTTTTTAATAATAAATATTTATAAACATACAGGGTTACAATTAAGTAAAATATAATCTACTTTGGGACCAAAAATTGTGGTTGCAATTCAACAGTAAACCAAACAGCAGCCCAACTGTAAGCTGTTCATGTAGAGATAGTACAGAATCTGTATCACATGGCCACAGTGCAGACAGAAAGCCAATAATCAAGGCAATATAGACAGGACTTTGATAGGAATGATTAGGAAAATCTACTGCCCATGCACAGTCCAGCCTGGCCCAGACTACAGGGTGAAGTGGACCTGCAGTTTAAGGATAACTAAAAGTATACTTTTAAAATTTATTACAGGCACTTATATAACGCCGTTGATTTATGCAGCGCTTTACATATATATTGTACATTCACATCAGTCTCTGCCCTCAAAGAGTTTACAATCAAAGGTCTAGCCCTAGCTAACATTCATACACATTAGGGCCAATTTGGACAGGAGCCAATAAACCTACTAGCATGTTTTTGGAATGTGGAGGAAAATGAAGTAACCGCAGGAAACCCGCACAGAGAGATCATGCAAGTTCCAGGCAGGTGGTGCAGTGGTTGGGATTTGAAAAAATGACCTTAGTGCTGCCAGGTGGAAGTGCAAAAGTATAGTTATCTTTTTAAAAAAAAAGAAAATACATTGAATACCAATATTAATTATATTTCAAGTATAATGATAAAAGTAAAATATTGTAATTTGATACTTTTTTATACTGAACAAATACACACATACATAAGTCACTTTCCACTTACAGCCCAATATCACTTTTATCAACAGAAAACCAGCTTCTGTTGTATGTAAAGGGATGCAGCCCTCAAATTGGGAAAGATCATGCGCTAGAACAGCTAATGATGCCATTGGAATGATTTGGCACCAAAAATTGTTGATGTGATTATGAAGGGCAAAGTGTAGTTTCACCCAAAGCAGATGACTAGATCACAAACAAGATTCTTTCAAGGTTTCCAACTGTAAGAAGTTGGCTAAAGCCATTGCAAAGATATCTCACTCTTCCTGCTGGATTTTATTATACCAAGCCTAAAAACTCCTCCTGCCTCATAATAAGGACTGAGACTCCATGCTGTAGAGGGGTAAAGTTGGGGTATCTGATGGCTTTAATCATCATACCTGTCATATAGTAGTGCAGACATATTAAATTCTACTTTTTTCTATAGTTCTTTTTAGAAGAAAACGTTGCATTCTGCATTTATGGTGTGTTTCCCTGCATGGTCCCATTCACGTCTACTGGAATCCATCAAACATGGAATGGAATCCATCAAACATTAGTGTCTAATGAATAAACATTAGTGTCTAATGAATAAAGGTGATCTAGAGAGAGATTTAAGAAGTCAGTAAGTCATTCTGCCAGCAATGTCCACCTATTAGGGAAATAATCGGATTTGTGTAAACTTTGCTATGTCCAGAGGGTTCATCAGAAGCCATGACAAAGACTAAAGGCTTTCAATGTGCATAGCCATTAACTTCACTGCAGTGAGTATATTAATTTTATTCCATGCCATTTTACTGCAGTTATACCTGGGTTGACAGGTGAAAGATCATCCTGCTCAGGTGGCAACAAAAAAAAAAGTTGTTTTTTGGGGGGGTTTTTTTAATAATGCAAGACAAATGAGAATGAAAATAATCAAACCACAGCAAAAATAAAATGAAAGCAATAACAGGTTTTTCTGATTCAGAACTCAGGGGGAGACCTCAGTGTTGTCAATAAAAAAAAACATATAAATGTGAAATTACTATCATAAACACTACGTGAAGCATTTCTCTTACTTTGAAGGTATTGGAATGCCACTGACATCAAAGAGTTTTAAGAAAGTCCAGCCACAGCTCAACTCTCCCCTCTCACCTGTAGACTTTAAAAGAAGAAAATGCCAGGTAATATTCCAGGTAATATAGGAAAGAGACACGCAGAGCATGGGAGCTACAGAGGTCACATATTGCACTTTTTCTGCAGGACGATTAGCAGGACGAGTGTCTTTTTTAAAAAAATTTTTAGGAAATGCTAGCCTTTGCTACCCAGCTATGTGGTTCTGCCTCATAAATATATACAGTCAAAATGACTAACAACTAATGTGAATAATTCTTATTTAATAAACTCTGCATATACAAAACACTATACGCAAAACATGTTTTTAGTTCTAGATGGAGTGCAGAAGGGCTGGAATTCTCATCATGTCTTTACTGCTGTCTGTGAATGTGAAATCCCCTCCACCCCAGGGATGTACATGACAAACAGGATTTAGCTGCAATTTGAACTATCTGGCTCACCTCAGAGTGTATTACGCATATAATATTATGAGTAACGTAGGAGGGGTCAAGGATATGGAAAACCTGAAACAGCATTGTGTGCGTCTTAGCCCTATCTGTTACAGTATGACAAATCTCCACACCAGTATCACAGCAAAAAACGATCAAACACAGTATCATTTAATAAACATATATGTTACCATGTCACATCTAATTTTATACTGAAAATAATGGGACAGATATGCGTTTTCCATAGAAACCAAATTTCAGCTGTCATTTTGCCACTGCAGCTTTGAAAAAAAAAAAAGGCATGCAAATCAATGAATGTCTACAGCAATGCAGTCACTTGTATGTTGTCCAGTACTGGTCCATAAAGTTCTATATATACCTCATCTCAGTATAATAGGACACACAGCCAGAAGGATGGAGGAGATCTCATTGCTGACAAGTAATAAAAGAGGTAAGGCATACCCACTTTTTGTCTGTGAAAAACTCTAAGAATTTCAGTTAAATAATATTATCACTGTATGATTAAAACTTTGCAACAAATGCAAAACAGAAGTCAAACAGAAGATTTGCATTTTCAATCTATTAAAACAAATGGATGTTCTTCAATGCAATCATTTGGTACAGCAACTAACTTGGATAATCAAGAGCAAACTATATACCCTGAATACAGTTTATACTTTTTTTAAGCAATGCCAACATTGTCAGGGAAAAGATCTTAATCACAGCACACAGCACAATAATAAAACCTGTAAAATAAAACTTACGCTTCGGATATAAGTAACTCCTACTTCAAACAAAATCCCTATTTCTGGAAACTGGCTGGCAGACCTCACGAAACAGTCACCATCCAACATGCTGGGAAGAATGCCTGTAACCTGTATGTACAAAATAACAAATGGAAACCCAGAATTTTTTTAATCCACTTATAAAATAACACATTTTCTAACGTAATTACCCAATGTATACAGTTGTGTTCAAAATAATAGCAGTCAGACATCACTAACCTGATCAATCACTGTTTTTGGTAGAAATGATATTTCTACATGGCAAATAATTTACTAGCAGGTGTAGTAGAGTAATAGAAATCCAACAGACCCAACAGTCATGACATGCATGCTGCTGATTCTGTGTAATTGAATCACTAATTGAAAGGGGCATGTTCAAAATAATAGCAGTGTGGAGTTCTATTAGTGAGGTCATTCATTCTTTGAAAAACAGGTGGAAATTATTGCCCTTATTTAAGGAAGGAAGGCAGCAAATGTTGTACATGCTGGTTACAGTGCATTTCTCTCTGAAATTCTGAGGAAAATGGGTCGATCCAGACATTGTTCAGAAGAACAGCGTACCTTGATTAAAAAGTTGATTGTAGAGGGGAAAACATATAAAGAAGTGCAGAAAATGATAGGCTGCTCAGTTAAAATGATCGCAAATGCTTTAAAATGGCAACCAAAACGTGAAAGAAACACAGGGAAGAAAGCGAAATGGATAGAATAGCCAAAATGGCAAGGACTCAGCCAACAATCGGCTCCAGGAAGATCAAAAAAGGTCTAAAGTTACCTGTGAGTACTGTTACAATTAGAAGACGCCTATGTGACGCCAAGTTATCTGCAAGAAGCCCCCGCAAAGTCCCACTGTTGAAAAAAAGACGTGCTGAAGAGGTTACAATTTGCCAAAGAGCACATTGACTGGCCTAAAGAGAAATGGAGCAACATTTTGTGGACTGATGAAAGTAAGATTGTTCTTTTTGGGTCTAGTGGCCAGAGACAGTTTGTCAGACGACCCCAAACACTGAATTCAAGCCACAGTACACTGTGAAGAAAGTGAAGCATGGTTGCACAAGCATCGTGATATGGGGATGTTTCTCATACTACGGTGTTGGGCCTATTTATCGCATAACAGGGATCATGGATCAGTTTGAATACATCAGAATACTTGAAGAGGTCATGCTGCCTTATGCTGAAGAGGAAATGCCCTTGAAATGGGTGTTCCAAAAAGACAATGACCCCAAACACACCATTAAACTTGCAACATCTTGGTTCCAGACCATCGAGATTGACGTTATGGAGTGGCCAGCCCAATCCCCGGATCTTAATCCAATAGAAAACTTGTGGGATGACATCAAAAATGCAGTTTCTGAGGCAAAACCAAGAAATAGACAACTGTGGAATGTAGTCCAATCATCCTGGGCTGGAAAACCTGTTCACAGGTGCCAGAAGTTGGTTGACTCCATGCAACACAGATGTACAGCAGTTCTCAGAAACAGTGCTTATACAACTAAATATTAATTAAGTGATTCAAAGGAAAGCAAAATCTTCAAACATTTTTCAGTTTATATAGTGAATGTTTGAGTTTGTAAAGAAGAATATAAACACTGCTATTTTTTTGAACAATCTAATATTCACTTTTCTTCAATTGTTTTTAGAGGAACAACACAAATTTGATATATTTTTCTTCATGTTTTGATTTGGAATAGAATGTGTTGTGTTCCCAATGCATTTGTGTGTATGGAAATAAAAGCTATTAGAAGGATTTTTAGCTTTTATTCACTTTTTTCAACACACTGCTATTATTTTGAACACAACTGTATGTATTATTCCACTGCAGAAAAAAATCCTTTCCCCTGGTACCCATGAAACTGTGTAGTGTTCAATCACTATATATTATAGATTATCACTTACCATAGGAAGCAAAGTAGCAATAAGGAGATAAAATACATGTACTTTGCAACCATAAAAAAAATGTATTAAAAATGTTGTTTTGTTTGCCAGCGGACACAAAACAGATTGCAATGTGAAGCCAAACATAACAGGAATCACAAATTGGAAACACAATAGGAAAGATATTACATAAAAATAGCACTTATATGTATACTCACCCTAGGAGAAAATGTCCAAGTTTTAGAGTTTTTGGGTAGCCATGTAGCTCTTACTGTATGAATGTTACTCAGGACCTGATAATATGAAAGTATGCATAGTTTTATTTGGCAAAAAAAATTGTTATTGATTTAAATTCTACAGAGTTGCCATATTTCACAAAAATTTACAGTTCCATTCATACACACATACAGACACTATCTCCAACATAAGCAGAAGCAAATTATTGTAAGAATTTGGGGGGTTTTTAAGGAATTTATAGGAATTCCCAGGAACATGGAAAGACTGTGCAGTCTTCATTCAAACAGCTTGCTAGGAAAAACCCATAGTGCTCATCAACTCATCAGAACCATTGCTGACACTTGAAAATATGCGAAAATGTACTTTTGTAAAACTAGTATTGATGTTGACAGAGTTACGAGAGTAGGTGTGTCAGTGGCATGTTTTAACCAAACAATGCTGGTACTGAATGTGTCCCTTTTTCCAATCACAGTAAGGCAGGAGGCATGTGATTGCACCTCCGCCCCGTAGAACACTAGAACTTGCACATCAGTGTTTACCTTAGTACCATCAAACAAGCAGAGCCGCACATGTCTGCTTAGAATCTGAATACTTGCTCCAGGCAGAGGTATCATCTTACAACTCCATAATGTCAAAACCAAAGAGACCCTGGTAGGGAGAGGCTGGATCTGTAGAAATAAAGTCATACACTTACATTAATATTTTTAATAAATTAGAAGATAGAGCCCTGAGCATGAGCAAGAGCAATACTTGTCTAATGTAGTCAGGGTCACATAGGAGAAAGCTGCACAAACAGTTTCATAACATGCATTTGCATTGGTGAAGTCCATTGTTACATATCAAGCAATGTGACAGGGTGGGACAGGCTGCAAAGAACACAAACAATGTTTTGTTACCAAATACAGCTGACTCATTAGTAGTATAGCCAAGAAACAAGAGGACAAAGTACATACATTTATATCTAAATTAAAAAAACGGTGCTATGCTTTTTAAACAACAACAAAAGCAAATGATGAAAGGCAAGTAAATAAGAGAAACATATCCAACCCACTTAATTTGTCCGCATTTGGCCAGATTGTGCACCCAACACTTCTCTGTTTCAGACAACCCAGTGTGCTATATATTGGGTCACCATGGTTACAGCCAAATCTGGATGATTCTGGAAATTGGCATCCATTTCAAATGTCAAAATTGGGCAGGGGATAACAGAGCATTTAGTATAAGAACCATATAAACACATGAATTTGGATCTGACATTTTATTTACAAAATTAACCTGGCCTGTAAATGTCATTTAAGAGTAATTTTATAAAGGCCACCTTTGCAGAAGTACATCCTACAAGTGCAACACGTCATATAAAGTTTTAAGATATCCTCCAAATATTATTAAAGTAATTGTTACAAGGTTGGTAAGGATGAATAAAGACACCGATCAACCTGTATTTGAGTATTTTTAAAGTGGAGCTCCACCCAATGGGGGGAGCACCATTCTAAGGACTCGTCCCTCGTAGCTTTGGGCATAGCGGGTACACAATTTTGCCAGGTAACCACTCCCACTTCCGCTCTGACCACCTAGGCGATCGGAAAATGTACTCCTCCCCCTCCACCCCTGCAGTCTTCTGAGACACATGATGGGTCCCAGAAGACTGCGGGACCATTTACAATGCACAGCGCAATGGGCACCCAGCTGTGTAGTCGCAAGCCCACTCTGGAGACAGAGGATGACTGGTGAACCCAGCTGCAGTGAGCACACTGCTGGATCGAGGGACAGGTGAGTGGTTGTTTTATTAAAAGTCAGCATCTACAGTTTTTGTAGCTGCTGACTTATTTCTTTCGCAGGAGACTGGAGTTCCGCTTTAATTTTGCCTTTAAAGCCTCTATTAAAAAAACCTGCTCCCCAATCCTGCTGGGATGGTGGTCCACATCAGGAGGGGTTTGTGATCTTCATAGATCTCATAAAAGCATTTGATTCTGTCTCTTAGCCTTACCTGTTCATGCTCCTGAAAACCTAGGGCTTTGGGCCAAATTTCTTTAATGTGCTTAGAATGTTATATTCTCAATCTATAGCTAAAGTTAAGTTACATAGTTGTTATTTATGACCAATTGAGATATCTAGGGGGAATAGGTAAGGTAGCCCTTTGTCTCCCTTTATTTTTCGCTATTGTGATTGAAACTTTGGAAATAGAGATTAGGGATGACACTAATATTAAAGGGGTTTCCTGTGGGTGCCAGACGCACAAATGTGCTCTTTTTGTGGACAGTCTGCTCTTATTTTTTACCTTGTTTCTTATTTACACACCTAATATCATGTGTCTATTTTCAGATCTTGGAGACATTTCAAGACTTACGGTCAATGTGAGTAAATCGGCGACTATGAATATAAATGTCTCCCCATTATGTCTATCCAGCATAAAAGCATTTTTCTTCTTTTTTTCGAGGGCTAACTATATTCGATACCTTGGGTATCTGTCCTACATGTTCAATCCCCCAACTCTATCATTCAAATTAGTCGCTCTTATTCAGAAAATTAGAGGAAGATTTTCAAAAATAGACAATACATGATCTCTACCGGATTGGTAGGATTATTTCTGTCAAGATTACTTTATTGTTTAGAATTCTGCATTATTTTCGCTCCTTACCTGTTGCTTTGAACCATTCGGATAAATTGAGCTTTCAATGAAAGATAATTCGAAATGCATGGGCTGGAAAAGGGCATAGGTTGTTGAGAAGGAACATGTTCTTCTCCAGATCAAGGGTAGGCCTTAGACTCCTAAATCTAATACTATATTATCAAGCTGCTCAGCTGGCTCAACTGTCTGTGGTATATTCCTGTAGGGAAAGACCTGACTGGATCACTATGGAACATCAGGCGGTGGGCTCTTATACCTTAGATCTCTTAGAATGAAAATCTACAAAGCAAAGACCATTTATATTAGCGCCAATGTTATCTAATCTCATCTTAAAGCGATTATAAAGGTTCTTTTTTTTTTTTTTTTTGGAAAATAACAAAAATGTTTATACTTACTTACTGTCTGCAGTGGTTTTGCACACAGCAGCCTGGATCCTCCTCGTTTCGGGTTCCCCGCAGGCTCTCCTGGCCCCTCCCTCCTGTCGGGTGCCTCCACAGCAAGGAGCTTGCTATGGGGGCACCCGCTGCTCCGCGTGTCCATTCACACATGGAGCCGCGGCTTGGACCAGTCCCCTCTCTCTCCTCATTGGCTGACTGGCTGTGATTGACAGCAGCGGGAGGCAGAGACCCGGGACGTTAATGGATCGTGATAAAGCTCAGGCAAGTATTGAGGGGGCTGGGGGCACTGCTGCACACAGAAGTTTTTTTTACCTTCATCCATAGAATGCATGAAGGTAAAAAACCTTCAGCCTTCACAACCACATTATGCCCCGTACACACAATGAGAATATTGGACGAATGAGCGTCCATTTTTTTTTTTTTTTGCATGCTAGTCTCATATCGCTATAGAAAAGCTTACAAAAGTTATGAATATTCTCATAGAACAGAATAAAAATTCGGAAGTGATGTCATGTATCGCAATGTATTTTATTATTGTATACAAGATTGATATCGCACCAACAGTTTTCACAGTGTTTTACAAAATGAAATATTTGTATATTATTTTCTGTAAAAAAACTGCACTCATTAAATGAAAATCATACGATCTGGTATCATACGAGAAAGATTTCCGTGTTTGTCCCTTCGAATAATTACGGATGAAAGCTGTGTATTAACGATCAGATTATCATACAGTCGCTCTGAAAGTGGTACTTTTTGTACGATTTTCTGATCTTGTGTACTAGGCTTTATTCTTGGCTGTTTGGGACAGGGCTTGTAATAATACAAATCTCATTTCCCCATGTCGACCATTGGTGCATCTTTTTAACGATCCAACCTTTCCCCAAAACTTGGACCTGAAGGCTTTCCGATGGTGGCTAGACAAGGGGTTATACAGAATTGAAAACTTTTCAGTTTTATCAACTTTTCCATTCCTTGTGACCTGATACCACTGTAAGAATGAAACTTACACACTATGAAAAATGGTGCACGCAGGATTTGGGTCAGAGAAGAGGAATTTCTACCAATCTATGGGCTCTTGCTGGACACCCCTGACCAAATTAGCCTACCTGCGGAAGTGGGACAAAGATCTCGCGGTTGAAAAAAAACAGGGAGCTCTGGTATAATTATCAGTCCTCATTTAAGGGCATTCTAAATGTCTCGCTCCATGAAGCTAATGTTATGGTAGTAACCGAATGGCACTTGGTCCCATCCAGTCTCTTGAAACTCTACCCGAACTCCTCACCTCTGCTTGTGGGGATGTAATCTTCACGGTGATATATATCCCATTTGGTGGGAATTTTTTAGAATTAGGGGACTCTGGATCAGAATTTTGCCCTGCGGAGATTGGTCACAGGAACTTCCATACAGCAATTGGCTCTTCTGGATGTTAAAGGATGTTTCACATGCTCTCCAAAGATTCATATTTTTTTTTATCATTTTTGGCTGCAAAGTTGACTATAGCCAGTAGTGGAAAGTGGCATCAGTCTCCTTGTCTCAGGCCAGGCAAAAAGTCTCTTGGCTCATGACACATGAAAAAATAGCCAGCATCTTGAATGATATGGGAAGGCGTTTTGAAAAGGTTTAAGGCACATGGGATTGATATCAACCTATGATCACATGAGACAACATAGGGATCAAAAGAGTTACTTGCCACCTCGTAAATTATCTCATGAAATGGTACTGTTAAATGTTTTTTGGGAAAGAAAAGGAAATGGAAAGGATAGGGAAAGGAAGAAGAGAGGAAAGAAGGAGGGAAGGAAGGAGGGAAGGAAGGAAGGAAGGAGGGAAGGAGGGAAGGAGGGAAGGAAGGAAGGAAGGAAAAAAAGGGAAGGAGTGAAGGAAAGGAAGGGGAGGAAGGAAGGGAAGGAAGAGGAGACTCTCATGGATGGTTCCTAGCTCACATGCTCAGTCAGAAGCATCACAGAGCTGCTGGATGCTCTATGTACAAATTTCTGCCCACACATCCACTTTTGAGAAGTTGAACGGCACAGACTGGAGTGTGGGTGGGCACAGGGGAAGGCAGAGCAGATCCAGCCTCTCCCTACTCCTTTTGGTGCAGAGGATGGGGGGGAGGGGCTGGGCACTGAGGAGCACAAAGGGGCACAGGAAGAAACTGAACAATTGGGGATGATCGGTGAAGTAGTGGGGGCAGTTGCAAGCACCGATTTCTCTGTATGGCTTTCAATGACTTTCAATGAAGCTGCTGGAAGCCGCTTCTCCTCCTCTCCTATTGGTGCTTGTAAATGTTCCCACCTCCCACCCATAACTTGTCCCAGCGCTGTTCGCCCCCACCTTGTTTCCACTCACCCAATACGAGCGGGTGAATGGAAATTTTGAAGGTTGACATAACTATATGTTTTTAGAGTCCTCTAAAAGCTATTAGCTACTTTTGTTAACAAAAGCTTGCAAATAGGACAGAACAAAATTACAAGATTCAGCTCCTATAAACTGCAATGGTGTTTGGGTTATATGCTCAGGGTTTGAGTATTTTTTCAATTGTTCCGAAAATGTCCAACAAAGTGAACTGTGCTCAATTCTCTCATCACTACTGGTTGCTATGGGGCAACAAAGCAGTTTATTAGTTTGCTTGGAACATATA